ATCCAGTGTTACTACAGGAGAAAACCTACACTAAACTAACTTTATTCATACTGGATAGCTCTATCAGTTCTAAACTGTTCGTCCTAGAGGTCCAGTAAGGATCATCTCCTATTGATCCAGTGTTACTACAGAAGAAAACCTACACTAAACTAACTTTATTCATACTGGATAGCTCTATCAGTTCTAAAGTGTTCTTCCTAGAGGTCCAGTAAAAATCATCTCTTATTGATCCAGTGTTACTACAGGAGGAAACCTAAACTAAACTAACTTTATTTATACTGGATATCTCTATCAGTTCTAAACTGTTCGTCCTAGAGGTCCAGGAAAGACTATCGGTATCCCATACTGATCTAGTGGACCTGGACAATATCTTGCGGAGCTTTCTAAAGTCAAACAACTGCATATTGCAAGAACCATGCCTAATTTAAAGTGAAAAGGCACATGTCACCTCATTCGAAAGGTTGGACAATTAAAGTAAATCTTTTACGGTTAAAAATCGTTTCCGTCGAGCAAAATCTTAATTTTCCCTTTTTAAATTGTTTTTCCTTTTTAAATATAGTCGAAACGCAGATAAATTAAATTTCCCAGTCTTCAGATTTTTGCCGTCTTGAAAATTGGACATTGTTCTCAGTTAAAGAGTTTAAGAGAGAACGATGGTAACTATTCATACCTTGAATTACTTAGATCAATTGTTACAGTGTGATACGCCCCATCATTGAGTGTCTCTTCCCTTGTTTGAAAAGGAAGTTGATTGCTGCTGCCATTGGCGTACACCAGAAACAAATTGCCATGAAACAGTGCGAGATAAAAATGAACATTCTACAAAAATATGAAAAATGAATATAACATTAAAAATTCTTGATAGAGCTACAGGTTTCCTCCTGTAGTTACACTGTATCGATAAGAGATGATCCTTACTGGACCTCTAGGGAGAAAAGTTTAGAACTGATAGAGCTATCCAGTATAAATAAAGTTAGTTTAGTTTAGGTTTCCTTCTGTAGTAACACTAGATCAATAAGAGATGATCTTTACTAGACCTCTAGAGAGAAAAGTTTAGAACTGATAGAGCTATCCAGTATAAATAATGTTAGTTTAGTTTAGGTTTCCTCCTGTAGTAACGCTGGATCAATAAGGGATGATCCTTACTGGACCTCTAGGGAGAAAAGTTTAGAACTGATACAGCTACCCAGTATAAATATAGTTAAGTTGACATATATACCTCTTTGATGCTGTAAACCAGTAGTCCACTTGGTTCGCTCGTTTTGAATCTGATTGCCAATGACGTCATGGATGTGATGTTTTCAGTTTTCACTGCGGAGTGACCATTAGAATAACTAAGACCTTGATCAACCTGGGGAACAAAATAGTGGCACAGATTATATACTAGACATGCAGAGAAAACACTGGACCAATTACCCATGAACATTAATATCAAAGTTCTGTGCAGTAGAAATTTTGCATAGGTCAATTCTAAGTTTTGAAGGATTTGTATGAAATGTTCGAGGGAACTGATTCAGTGTTAATAGTCCCCTGAATCATTTCTTAGAAATCCTTCAAAACGTAGAATTGACCTATGCAAAATTCCTACTGCACAGAAACTTTGTAAACAGACTTTACTTGGTCACCAGAGAGAATAATCCAAAATTGAAAGCGCTTTCTGGTATAAGTAAAGTTAGTTTAGGTTTAGTTTAGTTTTGTGTGAGTAATTTTTGGTTCCGAATTCGCACATCTCCTTTGGTTTCAGTCAGCTTCATCTCAAATTGAAAACTCACTTCACAGACTCGAAATTTAGCTACAATTGTTTCGATTTATTATTGAGCTTACCTGTCCCAAACACTCGTCAAACGCAACACCACTTGACACAACCGTAAAATTTTTATCATTTAGATTCCTTCGCACCAGCTTATTTTGCACAATAGAATGAAGAGAGACCAATTTCATACCGCCAGCAAAACGATCTCTGTTAGAAAGAATACATGTTATTATGTAACTTATTTTACTGCCATGATTGAGGAATGAGGATCATTCACAGCTTTCAAGAGCTTCCCTTTATCTGGGACCGCCCCTGTCACAACAACGAGTCACTTCCTCTACATGATCTAACCATGCTTAACTGAACGGTAAGTTCTGGACAACATCAGATCATTTTAAGGTAGCTCACATTCAAAAACATGTACTACCTCTGCATGATCTAACCATGCTTAACTCAGCAGTAAGTTCTGTACAACATCAGATCATTTTAATGTAGTCTACATGCTTAACTCAGCAGTGAGTTCTGTACAACATCAGATCACTTAAGGTAGCTCACATTCAAGAACATGTACTACCTCAGCATGATCCAACCATGCTTAACTCAGCCGTAAGTTCTGTACAACATCGGATCATTTTAATGTAGTCTACATGCTTAACTCAGCAGTGAGTTCTGTACAACATCAGATCACTTAAGGTAGCTCACATTCAAGAACATGTACTACCTCAGCATGATCCAACCATGCTTAACTCAGCCGTAAGTTCTGTACAACATCGGATCATTTTAATGTAGTCTACATGCTTAACTCAGCAGTGAGTTCTGTACAACATCAGATCACTTAAGGTAGCTCACATTCAAGAACATGTACTACCTCAGCATGATCCAACCATGCTTAACTCAGCCGTAAGTTCTGTACAACATCGGATCATTTTAATGTAGTCTACATGCTTAACTCAGCAGTGAGTTCTGTACAACATCAGATCACTTAAGGTAGCTCACATTCAAGAACATGTACTACCTCAGCATGATCCAACCATGCTTAACTCAGCCGTAAGTTCTGTACAACATCGGATCATTTTAATGTAGTCTACATGCTTAACTCAGCAGTGAGTTCTGTACAACATCAGATCACTTAAGGTAGCTCACATTCAAGAACATGTACTACCTCAGCATGATCCAACCATGCTTAACTCAGCCGTAAGTTCTGTACAACATCGGATCATTTTAATGTAGTCTACATGCTTAACTCAGCAGTGAGTTCTGTACAACATCAGATCACTTAAGGTAGCTCACATTCAAGAACATGTACTACCTCTGCATGATCTAACCATGCTCAACTCAGCAGTAAGTTCTGTACAACATCAGATCACTTAAGGTAGCTCACATTCAAGAACATGTACTACCTCTGAATAATCTAACCATGCTTAACTCAGCAATGCGTTCTGTACAGCACCATATCACTTTAAGGTAGCTCACATTCAAGAACATGTACTACCTCTGTATGATCTAACCATGCTTAACTCAGCAGTGAGTTCTGTACAACATCAGATCACTTTAAGGTAGCTCACATTCAAGAACATGTACTACCTCTGTATGATCTAACC